CGTTCTACGTAAACTTGTTTAAATAATTCCTATTATTCCTTTATAGAGAAAGATGATTTAATTTAACACTTTATGACGTCTCATAACTCAAGGTATCAATTTTATAGTTTAATGTTTAATCATTTTTCTGAGAGTGAGCATCAACTTTAATATAGTGCAAAAGTGAGAGGCATTGTTATTGCTCTTCTTAAACTTCATTATATAATATTTATTATTCTTTTAGAACGAAAATATGATGTAACTTCACTCTTATGGTATTCCGCATTATGGTACTAGGTATCAATAGTATAACCTCAACGTGGTGTAAAATTTAGACATATTCTCCTTTAACTTGATTACATAATACTTAATATTCTTTTTGAACGAAAACATGATTTAATTAAACAAATTTTTATTTATAGCATTATGGTTCAACTTTCTATGATTTTCTTCTGAGAATGTAGTTACTAATAAGAGTTTATAGGAGTAACGTTATTTTGTTTTATATAATATGATAAATGATAAAAAAATGAAGTCCAGGCTTAATAAATAGCAAAAAATAAGTTAATTTCAAAAAAATCTCGATAATAATCTATAATGTAATGTTTAAAAATAAAAATCGCCTATCTATTAAGTATCACATGACACGGAAATGTATGACTTTTATTAAAAGATTTCACTAAATAACTAATAATAAGAAAACTGACAAATTTGTATACGTTTTATTAAAAGGAAATAAAACAAAACTATACAAAAGAAATTTCTCTTACAAAGAATATAAATTTCTCTAACAGAAGAAATACGAAAAAAATGTGACTCAAAAAACTTTTTGTAAATTGTATGACCCTGAGAAACACATTGACAAACGAGTAATTTTACATAATACAAACATCACATCACATACAAATATCACATCAAACAAACATCACTGAGGAGTTAATAAATTTTGTTGTTACGATTTATTCAATGAATTCATTGTACTTATTCTTTATATTTCTATGATTGTACCGTAATTATAGTGTTTAAAATTTACCTTGAAGTGCATTATTTCTTGTGATTTTGTTCCTCGACTGCAACTTTGAACAAAGCAATACTGTATAATGACATAAAGAAGAAAAAAAATTAACACTAATTCAACACTTTTAAATGCTGAATTCATGTGAAATCTGTGCCTTATACAAACTATTATGCCCTGGGTTCAAATGGACAACTTGTTTATCTTTATAATAACAGACTACACTGCAAAAATTCACTGTTAAATTACGTTAAAATGTACCGGCCTTCACCGTAAAATCCATCGCAGTAAAAATTACCGTAAAATCCATTTTCACCGTAAATTTAACAGAACATAAATTCTAATATATTGTTATTTTTAAAGTAATGTTTGCTGTGAAGTCAGCACCTGTAATTCAAATCATATTACTATAAATATTACTTTGAAAGATACGATATAAAATTTTGTGATGACAACGGATTTTATGGTAAAATGTATTTAATGGATGTTGCACACAGGTTGTTAACACTATTAACCGTAATTTAATCCGGAACTTTTTACAGTGTTTCTCCTGTAAAATGGTTGAGAAACATATAATGTCATATTTTTTATAAAAAGCAAAATAATATTGTCTTCTATTTTAAAAAATTATATGTTTTTTTCTTGTCATGTTTCAAAATTGTAACATGGATGCTAAATTTAAAAAGAAAATTAACTGAATTATACTTGCAATTAAGAATGCAGCTGTAAAACATGCAATTAAGAATTAAGTATGAAAAACTTTGTTTTTTAACAAATACGTAGTTACATATATTTTGCACATTATAGTTAACAAAGATGGCACACATTACGAACATTATTTACTTCAATTTTCATAAATTCATAAATTTCATAATTCATTCAAATATTCAAACATTTCATAATTTCATAAATCATTCATAAATTTCATAAATTAAAAAATTTCATAATTAAAAAACTTTATAATTAAAAAATTTCATAATTTCAAATTCATTCACAAATTTTATAAATTTCCATTGAAAAAACAAAGAAAAAAACTCAATTGAGAGAGCAGTTCTGTATTGTTTTTTTCTACCTTGAGAAAATTCTCTAATAATTGAGAAAAAGTTACGCATGAAATTTATTAGTTAAAACTCATGATATTGAAAAAATAACCTATGAAAACCTATAATTAACCTATTAAAACTAAAATAAAAGCGTTTAGTATGGTATTGAATGTGTACTTGACAATGAAAAGCAATGTATAACGTAAAAAGTGAAGCAAAAACGTTACAGAACATTGACCAAAAAAATTTAAAGCTTTAAAATGTCACAATTATGTATCGCAATTGAATTTTTTTTCTTTTGCTAAAACAATTAGGTATGGTGAATAATTTTTAAACTAATCGTTAAGAATCGCCTTTTTTTTCTTCCTATTTTACATTTTACGCCTGATTGTAAGCTTTCGGATATTCTTAAAGTAAAAATATATCTATAGTTTTTAAATAAATAAATAAATAAACAAAATAAATAGTTAATAAACAACATAAATAAATAAACAAAATAAATAGTTAATAAACAAAATAAATAAATAATATTAAGATAGTAGTTGCAAAATTGCTGTAGAATTCTTTAAAATTATGTGATTGCATATTTAAAACTCCTCAAAGAGTTAAGCAACTTTTATTAACAATGCTAGTTTGTAAATATTATCAGTTGAAACATTGTAACACCAAAATAAATACATAAGCCTTTCTCTTCAAATATTGCCACGTGGTGAAACGGCCTTAACCATCTTTAGAAAGTATACATGTCTTCTGCCCCAGTCTTCTTTACCGATTGGTCAAGGTGCTGATGAACTTGTAGGCAGAAAATAAACAGGTCATTTCATCTTTCGTAGACTAGGTCTAGGTTGGTCATAGGTTAATGATGATATTTTATCTAATCTATTGCACTATCATAAGTTCAAAATGAAGAACTGAAGTGTGAATATTGCATTTATTATATTTGTTAAAAAAAATAAATAAATATTATATTTTTGGATTTATTTTATGGGTTAAATGTTCAATCGTGCATATATGTGTTTCAGATTCAGAATAATTTTTGGTGCATCTTGTACAAAGCAATGGTGTAGCTGAAAAGTGCCAGTTTGATGTTTCGATTCTTTAATCTTATTTTTTCCTGTATTAAATAATTTCTTTCTTTTAAAGCTAAATTTCTTCATAGAGACATCAAGTTCTTGTGTTTAAAGTCGCATATATTTCTGTTGCAATGTTTCGAAAAATTTTCTTTCTTTAAAATTTTCAATCATAATATAAATGAAATTTTGAAAAACTTTGAGAATTTGCGTTATACTTAAACAACTTAGCGTGAGCGTGCTAAACTTTGTGAAACTTTAGAAAGGCGCTAATTTTCAATTTTCTTTTCTTCCTTTTGTTTAATTAAAATCTTAAAAATGCTCGCTTTTAAAAGAATTTTTTTACCTTTTATGTTAATTTGAAAATTTATAAGACTTTATTTAGTATTTAAACCTATTTCTGTGCATTAAAATCTTTTATTGCTACATATATTTAAGGAGGGGAAATGAATTTAAACTAAAAGTAAGATGACGGCAGATTGTCTTAAAAACAGTATTTTATTTATTTATTTATAAATAAATAAATAAAAAATTTCTTGATTTTTTTTCATTTATTAACAGTTATATGTCTGTGCACGACTGAAATAAAAAAAATTATTACGAAAATCTGTTAAATATTTTGTATTAATTATTGTTTTGATGCTTAATTTTTTAAAAACTGTGCTTTAAAATGCTTTTGAGAATCGCTGGTTTTAATACATATATAGAATTAAATACCTTTTTATTTGTGAGTTTTCTTGAGGAATGTTAAATATAAATTCATTACATAAGATTTAATTTAATACAATTAAAGCTATATTTTTAAATTCTTTTTTGACATTTCTACGGTTTTAAATACTGATTTACTTGCTACTATTTCAAATTATATTTTTCAATCAGTTATTTTGATTAGCAGATAGAGAAACAGATAGAGAAACAAAGAGGAAAGAAGACTTATACTTAGAAGGCGAAGACTTATACTTAGAAAGAAGACGTATACAACATCTTATTTAACATAATACTTAGCATTGCAATAAGAGTTAAAATATTTAAATCGCAGTTTCATAAAAATTTAAAATCAAATTATAAATATTCATTGTTTTTTTCAAAATTTGATTTTCTAAGCTTGTTCATAAGTTTATTAATCCAATCATATTATTCATTTAATATTTTAGCTGAGCGATGAATATTTTTATGTATATGAAACTTTTAAATTTTTGTATTCCTAATTGGTATTGAGCATTATTGAAATTAAGGCACGCTTCGTTTCTGAAAATTATGTTTCTTTCTCTTTTTATAACAAAAATTCAACTAATAACAAATTTCAAAAGCAGACATTTCATAAAAGCGGATCATATATTATATTTTAATCTTACTTGAGCTAAATTGATTGTTAGATTTGTTTCATAGCTTCTTCCTACTATTACAGCTTATTTGTGATTCTTTTCTAAATAAATTTCGTGATAGATATAGTGGCGCCATCTACTAATAGTGAGCAAAACTTAACATGTTTTGGTAAAGGCAATTTATTAAAATTATTAGCAATAAAAATGCTTAAAAAAAAGACACTGATATTTTTGAACTTAAATTCAATTAATAACACATTTCAAAAGCTTACATTTCATAAAAGTGGATTACATATTATATTTTAGTTTTACTTGAGCTAAATTGATTATTAGATTTGTTTCTTCCTTCAGTTTATTTGTGATTCTCTTCCAAAAACTTTTTGTCAAATTTAGTGGCGCCATCTATTAATAAGAAGAAAAACTTAAAATGATTAGTATAAGCAATTTATTAGAATTATTAGGTACTAATACTTAAGGGATTAAGGGAATAAAAATAAATAAATAAATAAATAAATAAAAAAGCACTGAATTTTTTATCTACTGAGACCCGTAAAAAAGTTTAAAGTTAAAGACTAAAATTAGATCTTTCCCCGAAAAATATTATAATAAATAAATAATAAATAAATAAGAAAGCAGCACTAATTACTTATAAAAGAAACTACAAATGTTAAAAATTCGACATCGATGAAATAAAGGACCTGAGTTTAAATCACAATGTGAGGAGTATTTTGTTAACTCCAGCTATGTCATATTAGTCTGAACATTATAAAGATTGTAATAATGTCCTTTTAAATTTAGAAGTTCTTGGTGGGTACCTCTCTCTACAATTTTCCCTTTGTAAATTACAGCTATTGTGTCTGCATTTTGAATTGTAGAGAGTCTATGAGCTATAATAAGGCACGTACGTCCACTACTTGCTTTGTCTAATGCTTCTTGCACAACCTATAATATAATAGAAAGATATCTAAACATTTTAAAATTTTACATAAGTCACTTTTTGTGTGGTTTTCATCTTATTTACACAGTTTGTTATTAACCAATTAGTAACTAATTTTGTTTGATAATCTTATTTAATTTTTCTTGTGGATAATTATAATATACTTTTTACACGATCTTTGATAATTAATCAGTGTAAATATTTTAAAAAAATAGTAGCTTTTTGTGTTACATGATTTGTTCCAATCCAGATGACAAGGAAACTCTTGGATGAAGAATTGGGAGAAATTTGCTCTTGTAGAAAACTTTTTGAGGGACCCAATGCGCATTGTGTTACAACCTAAAACGGTTAGCCTGATGGTAAAGGAACTCTAACCCAAGATCCGTCCACTGATTTTTCGTCAACATTGTGGTCGGTGCGAGCCGGGTGCGGAATTCGCATCGACCAGCCACCGCTGGGATTCAACACCGGGTTACCTCACTGCGAGTGGAGTGTTCTATCCCCTGAGCCATCACTGTTCATAGTTTTAAAATTGATAAAATTATTAGAACTGGAAGGCATTTAATAAAAAATTTGGAGCAAGTCAATGCACTAGCTCTTGAAAACAAAGGGCTATCAGAAGGCCAAGAAGCCTTATTAACTACGGTAAGTGAGTCATGAAACACAGAAAGATCCTCTAGATATGACTCGCTTGATTTTAGATAGTTTTCTAAATTTAAACTTTAAATGCTATCTTGATGTAATTATACTATTTACTAATTTAGATGTTAAAAATTTCGAATTTTGATGCGATTCTGAAATTAATTTCGATTTTAGATTTGGTTCTACTTTTGTAATACTTTTTGATTCTTAATGTGTAAAGAAAGATAGTTCGGTCGTCTTTCAGTCCGAAATCGGTAGAATGGATTGGATGCGTCAGCAAGCTCTGCTTTCTGTGTTTCCTGGTCATGACCAGGTAGACTTCTTAAATTGCCCTGTGGGCTTGAACCGAGTTGCTCGCAGGTGACTTTTCTATATCCAGATAAATTGTGTTGCTCACATGCTTGACTCGGGACTGTGTGCTGACCAGAGTTGGCCAAAAATGTAATCGATTACATTTTTTGATTACAGTAATCAATTACTTGTAATCATGATTACAATTTAAAAATTTTTTGATTACAGCTGTAATCATGATTACAATATTGATTACAGTAATCAATTACTTGTAATCGTGATTACAAAGTTTGATTACAGCTGTAATCATGATTACATCATGATTACAATTTTGATTACAGTAATCAATTACTTGTAATCATGATTAAAATTTTCGAAAATTTTGATTACAGCTGTAATCATGATTACAATATTGATTACAGTAATCAATTACTTGTAATCGTGATTACAAAGTTTGATTACAGCTGTAATCATGATTACATAANTAGACTCACGTTCGGGAGAAGGGGAGTACGAACCCAGCCGACCAAAGACTCCCCGTGTAGTAAATGGTGGTTGGTGCGGGTTAAATCTGTCGGGTCATGAAGTCTTCCATGTTCCCATAACAAATTATATCTATGGGGGTACTGTATTATCGTTCTCTGGTTCAGGTCAAAATTGCGTATGAATTATGTACGAATGGGTCCGCCCTATAAACGAGTGTAACGTATGGATGTGGCAGAAATCAAGTTCTTAATCATAGATAGCGCCACTGGAAAACAAGAACAATCTCTCCCCCAGTGCCTTAATGGTCGACGACAACATCAACTACCCAGTTTTAACCATCTTCTCTAAAATGTTTCTAAAATTAAACTTTAAATACTAAAATCCTGGTGCTTAAAATCAAGTTAAAGTGTTTCATATAGCATATTAACTATATTAGAATTTTTCAATGAGAGTTTTGACATACCTTTTCACTTTCTGCATCGAGGGCAGAGGTTGCTTCGTCAAGAAGTAATATTTTGGGATTTCTTAACAGGGCTCGAGCAATAGCCACTCTCTGCTTTTGGCCGCCACTTAATTGCGTGCCTTTGTCACCAACTGGAGTGTCGTATCCCTTCATAGAAAAAAAAATTAACTGTAAATTAATTCTAAATAAATTTATTGTAAGACTATTCGTCAATCTCGTAAACAGCATGAGATTTTGTGTGAATTCCATTGCCATCGAGGTTCAAATATCTTAGATTAAATCCTCTACAAGTTCAATTTTTGTACATAATTTCTAGTGTGATGTTCATAAATTCGTGATCTTCAGTTCATGCCAATATTTTTTTTCATAATTTGTTGTCCTCTTATTAAACTTGATTAACTCATTAAACTAGATTACCTCATTAAACTTGATTAACTCATAAATTCATTAAACTTGATTTTTATTCCTTACGTTATCCAGGAAAATAAGCTCGTATCTTATCTTTAGGACATGAGTATAACAATAGTGGGAAGTGATGTAGAAGTGGGAATATGCTAATGGAATGAGCAATATGCCTCTTATTTCTTTTTTTCTCCAAAACGGAGTCTTTTTTTATTAATGCGTATATTCTAAAGCTTATTTTTATAGAAACCGCTAATTTCTATTCAAATTTCAGTGCTTTTTCTGACGAAGAAAAACTTAAGAGATGTTATTTAAAGTGAAATTAAATATTTTGAAACGAAAAGACATAACTTGTAGACATAACTGAAGACGAAAAAAAAAAATGATGAGAACTAAAAATAAAGCAAAATATATTTTTATTTTTATTTTTACCTGAGGTAATGAAGAAATAAAGGCATGTATATTGGCTTGGCGTGCTGCTTCTATAATTTCTTGCATTTCAACTGTTCTAGAATTGTCCCCGTATGCTATGTTTTCAGCTATACTATAACTGAATAAGACAGGTTCTTGTGATACAAGACCGATGTGAGATCGGAGGTTAGCCACTTGCAAATCTGAAACGTTTTCTTGGTCAAATACCTAATTTGAACGAAGAAATAAATTATTTTGTCTACTATATGAATGACAACCATAATTTAATCAATCACGCATATATCATCTGTAATTAATAATTTGTAATTAATGCAATTAAATCTGTTTTTATAACTTATTATATAAAACGAAGAAAAGACTAGTAAAATCTTTTTGTTCCAAATTATATGCTTTTCATTGTGAAATTCCATGTAATGTATTGTGATATTATGTACTATAATTTCATTGAAATTGGTGCACTTAAAAAATCCAACTAGATTTAAATTTTTTTTAATAAACCTCTTTTATGTACGTCATTTATAAAATAGGTATAAAATATAATTTTAAAATTCTCTTGTGCAACTACCTCAGATAACAATATTTATAAGTTCTTTTTCTTCTTTTTTTTTGAATTAGCTATTTGTTTACAGTAAAAAAAATAATGTATCTTAACACCAGGAATGGTGGCAACAACTTTACTCAAAATTAACATCAAGAACGGTGGCAACAACTTTACTCCAAATTAACACGAAGAATGGGGGCAACAACTTTACTCCATATTAGTGTCCCACGAATGAAGGATTTTTCCAGGTGCAGTGAAACGCTAAGTATGTTCGCTAGACTACTCGGTGTAAAGAAACAGCCAAAACTTTTGATATCCAGTAAGATTAAATATTTTTAATTACAGCTTGATAAGATACACATAAAGTCAGTTATTTTTGCGAAACAATATTAGCTGAGAAAAATTAATTGTAGATGCATACATACACTAATTCTTAAATTAAAATTAGTTGTTAAATTAAACATACGCAAAGCAAAGGAGAATATTAAGAGTAATACGAACTAGCCTTAACATAAGAAAAGTGGATAGAAATTTTAGGTTCTTAGTTTTAGCTTGTTTTGTACATTTCAGAGAGTTTTAAAAATTAAAATACTGTTTTGTTATTACTAATGCCATATGCCAGAATAAGCAAGCCTGCTTGAAATCAAGCGAATTTTAAGGCAAAGGATGCGTTTCTAGTTTTTTTTTCAGGGGCGTCATCCATGACCAAAAACACGGCTTCAGCCATGCACACGTCATAGCCTGTTTAACAAGGAGGACCTAACCAAACTCCATTCATTCACAGATCGAAATTTTGACTAGAGAACGATCTTCAATTCAGTACCCCAAGAGGTATTAAATTGTTTTGGGAAATTGGAGGACTTTGTGCCCTGGACATATTTAACGAGCACCTGTCGCCATTACTACACGGAAATTCCTTGGCCGGCTGCATTACTCAACTCCCGTTCTCACAAACGCGAGTCCAAAGTCCTACCAATCCCATCTTGGGAAATTGAAATCTAAATAATCTTACTGCACTACTAAAATCATAGATACATATTTTAACGGCACATATTTGTTTATTTAAATGTATCGTTGCGTAGAAAGCAACAGTGATTACTAAGTATTTGACTAACGATATCCTGAGTGAATATGATATGAGTGCGTATGTGCTTGGTGTAAGCATTTTACATTATTGCTATACAAATATTACTACACCTTCTGAAATATTTATGACCAATTGGCTTGGTTTTAACTTAAAATAAAGTATTCCGTCACACAATTTTTTAGGTAGTTGGAGGTTTTGAAACGTTAACTCATTTTCGTATTTATTTCAGTGATTTAGATTTCTTTCATAAGCCTAACCTAATTTTTTTTCACTCCCATTTAAAACAAAACATCTTCTTTTAGCAGAATTGAAAGCTTTGGTGATCAAACTATACTTAAAATAATAGAAAAGATTGAATGAATGAAGTTCGTAACTTTGCGATTTGTTTAGTAAAATCAAAGCAACTAGAGAACCAACTTCACAGACTGGCAAAACGTTTATCTATTACTTAATTAAAATAGTCACTTCTCTAGCGTTATGCAGTTCAGAAAGATTTAGCATTTTGAAAACATTTCGTGTAAAATTATAACGGCATATTTTAGAAATTATTAAAAAAAGAATCAATTTCACTTCAGAATCAATTTCCCTTTAGGATCAATTTCATTTAAGAATCAATTTCCCTTTAGGATCAGTTTCACTTCAGAGTCAATTTACCTTTAGGATCAATTTCACTTCAGAATCAATTTCCCTTTAGGATCAATTTCACTTCAGAATCAATTTCAATTCAGAGGTGCTTAAAAAAAAGTTGTTTGCGTAACACTGGG